ATTGCAATTTGAATTTCCACTGAAAGGTCATAAACAACTTTAAATGTATAGAATATCAGGTTTTTGTTTGTCTTTGATTGTAGTCGTGCACGATTTAAACTACACAAACAATCCTCTTTCAATGTCAAATTAGACTTATTCAGTATTTTCAGCCTATCTCACAATTTAACGCTTACTTAGACATTCTATTTGTTCAATTTATTTTCAAGTTTGTTCAACGCTCAAAAGTTAGTTTGTTTCATTCTACCACAACATGTCGCTTTCCTCCAGATCTGTACAGTTTCCTTTATGAACTAATGCTACTTGGTTAAAGTCACCACAGCATGTCACTTTCCTCTAGAACTGTACAGTTTCCTTTATGAACTACTGCTACTGGGTTAAAGTCACCAAGTCTGAAACAATACATGAAGAGGTTATAGCTTTATTTCAGATTTAAGCATGTATACACATGCATATGGTTAAATAATTACGAAATTGAATTATGCTTTCAGTCTGTGAAATGTATTAATATTCTAACGACTCATGCGCAGTTTGAAATGAATTTAGATTCTATTTACTTTTCTTTATACAGAAAATTCTGTTTCATTTCATTTAAAAAAGTAACACAATTTGTTGCACTTGAGGAATTACAACGAACCAAAAATAATCTTGATTTAATATTACTCAATCATTCAATCATAAAAAGTAAGGAAAAGACCAGAGATAAAAAAAGTCAACTTACACACAATATCGACGCTGGTTTTCTTGATCAAGATGACATTTACCAGCGTATGTGTGTCCGTCTGTTGCACAAATAAGTTTATCAGCAGTATCCGTCTCGTTGTTCTTAGAGTCACAATCAAATACTTTATCACAATTAACGTCAAGAAACATTCTCTTGCTCGGTAGACAAAAGCATCCTGAAAAATACAATAGAGCAACATTGTAGATAAATGTTAAGAACTGTATGAAAATATCAATGTCAGCATCAGTAGAATTAATTGACATTAAAAAGATTGATCATTTTTAAATTTGCAGCGTGATTTGCATGAAATTGGAATTGAGACTAAAGATATTTTTAATGCATGATGATATAAAAACTCTTTACAGGTGCTTTCTACTTGTCAAATATGATTTTATCACTATGATACATCTATCATAAAGGAAATTTACCTGCTATAAAAACAAGCACGACTCCATAAAGAATCATTGTTTTTTCCATTTTTATCTATCTCTTTTATACATGTACAAACTGAATCGAAACTTAAAAGACTTGGTTCCTTATATGAAAATGTCTGAATAATTATGTTAGATATAGTAGTAGTAGTAGAGAACACTTAAATGGCAGTTACAGATATGTCTTTAATTAAAATTGACAGCGCATTTAATCTACAAGACAAAGTCCAAAAAGAACCACGGCGTTATCCCATTGACGTCACGATGACGTCAATGCCAGTGTATAACCGTCAATGGCCCCAATGGTTACCTCACTATGACGATCATGACCTACTTATATGTCGGAAGCCTGAGACCCTTTGAAAATTGGTCACCTTATTAAGTTCATTTTCATATATAGAAATATGCCATTTGTAAAATTGCAAACAGCCGAGCCACTGTAGATAAATAAGACCAACAAGATGAAAATGGCTGAAGGAATTCTGTAATAAAACGATGTTTTTATTTCCAAAGCAGGTTGTCTTCCATTCTTAGGTACAGATATTCCTTGATTTGATAATATTTAGAACTGTATGACCACGTAACACAAGAGATAAATGCATATGTTATTGGAAAATATTTGGACCTACCTAAATAATCCGATGCCTCCTTTAATTCTAGTTAAAATAAGAAAGCATGATAAATCAATTTTACCATGCATCATTCCCATTGGAAGTAAATTATACTAAACTGCAACACACATGATACAATTAGATAAAAGAACAAATAAAACCCGTTTGATATATTTTCATTGTTAATACAACAGTCAAATATTATTATTATTATTATTTTGATTCAGAAGTGTTTCTAATTTGTCTGAAATAAGAGATTGAAATTGGGCATCTTTTGATACATATTGTTAGATTATATGGTGTTGTTATTTATGGATACTGAAAATTAAAGCATTGCACCATGCATTGTCAATTTACATCGTATTGAATATTGATAGTTACAGTTGACTCAACGAAGTGTGCAGCCTAGTATGTGGGAACCTGTTAAAGTTGCGACTAGTTGATATCGCAAGGTTCAAGCTGTTGACCTGAATGACGTCAATGTAAGGCCAGTGCATTTATAACTGTTCTTATCTTGTTGAAACTAGATCTTCTAAAATACTTATTATTATATTATCTATTTCATTATGTACATTTATAGTTAATGAAATAATATATTACGACATCACTTACCATCGCAAGAGCACAAGTGACCAATTAAATTTGTTTGTACGAATTTAGCTTTAAACTGTAGGTTTAGTTAGTTAGCTATAAGCAGCCTACTTGTGTTTTTTAATGAAATATTAAAAAAATAAACTTATAATAAAATAAAATGAAATATTCTCAGCTTTTTTCTCCTCCGAAATACGTTTTTTGCAACGTCATTTCCGGCCATTTTTACACATTTACATCTCACGCGCGATCTTTAAATCTTACATTTTCTGAGAACTTCATTGGACTTGTACTTTAACGTAAGAGTATCAATACCATTTACAACATATGATAATTAATGTACAACATAGAATTCACTTATGGTTGCAATATTACCTATATCCACGAGTTCAACGAACAGCAGTAAAATTTTACCCGTAAAGTTTAGCTCACCTCCGGTGATATTTATATAAAATATTTGAAAAAGTACTTCCTACTCACACAATTTTGGCAGACACAGATCTTGGTTGTTGGAAATTTTACTCTAGACGCTAGTGAAATTAAACCTATTGTGAAGTTTTACTTTGGTAATTCAAATCGGTTGTTTGAGAAAGATTATTTCTTTCTAGTGCTCTGAAGAGATTGTGCTGTACATTTTTATATGCAAATTATATACACCAAGTTGATAATAATACTCATTTTCAAAACAGCTCAAACCTTGAAACCTGGAAACTTTTGCTTATGATATCAAAGATGCCTGATTAACATATAATTATCATATATTTCTGCAATAATTTCAAAAAGACAAAAACTCGTTAAAATCTTTCAAAATCGATCAGTTTGCTTTAATGTTTATAAGAGATAGATAAAAGACTTCTACGCGAAATAATTGATAACCATGTCCGGTATATGAAATTACATTGACTCCTCTGGAAAGCTTGTAGCAGGAATAAAGGAGATGAACAATCTAAGCAAATAAAACTGGAATAAAAATGAAACTCATGGCTCGGGAAGGATATATCGTAAAATTGCATCTGTTTTTGTTAGGTAAATATTATTTCTAAATTATTTTTCAAGTAGATGAATAACAATTTCCATAAAGTTTTGAAATTTTTTAAGAAGACCTCAGATACAATATTTAAGTCAATGACTGTTCTGTTTTTATGAAGTAACCAATCAGAATATATGAGTAATGAACATTAATTCTATCTTTAGAACAACCTGATACTGTCAATCCCTACATGTACTTTGTTCACTAAATTATCCTTAACTTTTATTTATTTTACAGTGGTGTACGTTAACGTGTTAGGCGCTTCAATCATAAGTAAGTCTTGTCAAACATTTGTTTGCATTTAAGTTTTAAAAAATCCATTACAAATGATATTTTATTATTAAATTATCGATGTTGAGAAGAGCATTTGCAAGATTGAGCTTAAAAATAATATTTTATTATCTACTCTGAAAATTTATACATTTGTATAATCAAATCTGCCAATAACTTTTGCATAAGTAAGCAATCTTACCCACGTTGCATTATTTATAATATCGCACAGAGAAAAAGTGGAGGAACAGGCTGTCCACTGACTGTTGTTGACAATCAGTCATCTGTAACACCCTGTTACACCCTGTATCACAATCAAGAACTAAGTATTTTGTAGTTAAATTATCATTGTATAACTCATCGTCATCAATCATTACTTATTCCACAAAAATTGTTTTCAATTTAAGACAACTCATTTAAGAAATAATATATCCCAAACTGTGATTTTATCGCTCAATAACATTACTGTTTGGAGTTCGAATGCAACGAATTATATCATGAGGGCGTTGCCGAACGACAAATGGAGATAGTTGACATAAGAGCCGTCATTAAGTACCTCTTTTTAGAAAGGGATGTCCCCCAAGGAAACCAATGAAAACTTCATGGATTTACTTGGGAAGGAGTCACATTCCTAAAGCACTCTGAAAAATGTGCTGCTGAATTTAAGAGGGGAAGGGATAGCATTGGAGATGATGAGCGGCCAAACTAGGCCACCAACAATAAAACTGCCGAAGCTGTGCACGATCTGGTCATGTGCGACAGAAGGCGAGACATGCGAAGCATTGCTAGGGAAGTGGCTATAAGCTTTGGTTCAGTCCAGGCAATTCTGACAAATGTGTATGACATGTGAAAGGTTGACTGACGACCAGAAACGGACCAGGCTTGACATTTTAAGATATCTTTTGTCTCGCTACGAGGATGAACCTGATTTTATCTACCGGATCGTAACTGAGGATGAAACATGGGTTCATCACTTCGATCCAGAATTAAAAAAATAAAGAATGCAGTGTAAGCACCATGGCTCACCCCTCCAAATAAATTCAAGAGGGTGCCATCAGCAAGGAATATGATGGCTTCAAATTTTTGGAATAGTCAGGGATAATCTATTTTGTTTGAAGGCATTCGGTTTTGTGCCGAATACTGTGACATTTTAACAACGAAAAGTTTGGTCTGCATGTTGAATATAAGGTGTAATGTTTTGTTTTATGAATGTAAACTGCACGCACTATGCAGACGAATTGAGATGTCTGCGCCAAGAAATCTCACGTAAAAGAAGGGACAAACTGACACAAGGCGTTCTGATTCTGCATGGCAATGCGCCAGCTCACACATCCCAAGTTGCGATGGCTGCTGCAAGGTGGTCAAAGTGCATTGGTGTAGAGGAACGTAAGACCATAAGTTGGGTTCTCTTACTACTGAAAGAACATCGGCCCAATAACATTTTGATCAATCCTCGTACTCATCACTTGTTGTTCGACTGTTATGCCTCCGATTGGCGTATGTAGTACATTCTTACATAACGTTGATAACATCAATATTTATATACTCTTTTTGAAAGGAAATGCCAGTATATTAAACGGTAAACAAAATTACTTAGAAAAAAACACAAACATTTTTCTAAAAAAACGCATTCTACTATAATCTTTTAAACTTCTCTTAATTTTCTCCCTGTCTGTTATTTTGTAATTTATTTATTTATTTGTCCTTTGCTCTTTTTTTGGGTACAAAACTGTAATTGAGCTTTTTGATTTTAATCACAAACATGCCAATTCCTAGAGATAGAATATATCACTTTAAAAACTATTCCAGATAAACTGTAAAATTCATTTACAATTATTTGTTGAATCCTTTTTGTGTAAATAAGGATTAAATATTTTTGAACAAATAACAGATTCGCATTTTAAAAATTGACAATATGGCGGTGATCGATTTAATGGATATACGTATGATTTTACAACATTTATTCAACAGAAAGGAAACTTATTTCAAAGTAGTTATAAAAAATTGATATTTATTGCTAGATGTGTATACATGAAAGAATAGGGATTCGGAAAGTATAGTGTGTTTATTTAAAAGCCTTTCAACGAACGTTTCATGGGTTATGGCGAATCTATCACTAACGTTCAGTTTTTACATTGCTTGGATGATAACTTTTCACTTCTGTCTTCAAAAGCAATCTTGCATGTGAAACGATTTTTGACTATCAGATCAAATAAATGCAATAGCTGATATTTTAGCTAACTGACATAGAGTGAAAAAGGAAAAAAGTCAGTTCCACTTGAATCTTTTTTTATTTTCATTTCTGTGTAAAATCATTTGCCACTAAAGCATATAAATGTTGGGTTGTAGATTCTGTGAAGAACGTTGCTCGTGACAAAGAAACGTTGCAGTCAACACTTTCCATGCGAAGCTCTGACATAATAGTAGATGGAGATAGAGATCAGAATCTAGAAAAAGGTTCTTGTATCAACATTGAAAAGAAAGGAGAATCCTGGTTACAAGTGGATCTTGGAGATATGTACACTGTCTTTAACATCAGAGTATTTCTTGCTGATCCAGGTATTATCAGGCAATGAATATCGGTTACTCTCATTTCACAATTCTTATACAAGTTTCGGTGGTATGTGAAAAGTTATAACTAATATCGTTATGCATAAAAAAATCCTGAAAAAATAACACTTTTTTCCGCGTAAAAGTAAATTTCGAAGCTGTATTTCTGTCATAGTCAAATAATATCTTGTCTTCAAAAAAAATTTACACCAGGACAAATTATTACCTTGTAAGCAGATATCTAAACAAGGCAAAAAAGATAACAAAGAAACGTTTAGGACAATACATATGTCAAATTCATCCCAGTATATTGGAAATCTATGCCATACCTTACATTTGAGAAGAAACAGCATTTAGTTTATTTTTGTAGGAGACAATTTGGAAGACTGTTTTGAACAACCATGGACATATCGCGGCAATGCAAACACAACAGAAAGCGGATTTCCCTGTCAGCCGTGGAACATTACACATGATATATTTCATTACATGCCTCCAGATTCGTTTGGATTTCGAGTTGGGGAAAATTACTGTCGTAGTGCGAATCTGGATTACCGGTATTATTTTTGGTGTAGGACACATATTGCTCATTTGAAACGGTGTGACATACAGTTAAGAAACCAAAAATTATGGTGTTATACCACCAATCCCGAATTAGAGTGGGAGTACTGTGCCGTGAAAAAATGTGTAAAAGGTATGAATATTTAAATTGTGAACAAGTGATATGATTACAAAATAAAAGATTTTTCAGTGTAAACATAATGTTTACATTATTAGTCAATGTCCGGTGTTTTCCCAACATTTTAAGTGAAATCATGAGAAAACATTTATAATTCTTTTAGGCTTAGATTTTTCATGAATCATTCCTTTTTTAAATGTTTGCTGGCGTTACATTTTATTTATCCTGTAAAAATGACTTTTGTTAAAGCTTAAGGTGACGTAAGCTTTTGTGGTATGTGTTATTCCGGCAACAAGTGTATGAAAACACAACTGAATACAGTTAAAACAGAAACTTTAACGTCAAAATTTGAATATCCAGGTTTAAACTACAACTTGGTCTAAATAAAACCTGTGCCGATATAAATTTACGTCGAACTGTTTCGGTCCACAATGTTGTATGAATATTTATAATAGTCATAATTATAAACAGCTATTGTAATCGTAATAATTAATTGTCTGTAAATGTATATTTTATTTGTTTACAGCTTCAACAAGTAACGTCATTCTGAAAATCGGAACCACAGAGAGCAATATTGAAACGCCCGAGTTCATGGACAATTCTGGTTTGTCAGAGAACATACTTGAATTTGTGCTACATAATAACCCTCAAGCAAGATACGTAGAAATTCATCAAGATTACACAACAGACTATTTCCCTCTTTGTGAAGTAGAAGTATATGGAATATCAAGTAAGACTGATGTTCTCTCCTTGCTGATATTGTAATGTATTTCAATCTCTTTTATTATTGCAATTAACATAAGGTATTTCTCTCACGAAAACCAGCATTTAACCTAGCACATGTAGCGATTTTTAGAAATTACACATATTAATACTGTATATAGGGTATTTTTGCGCGTACAAGTACCCGAAATCACAATTTCAGATCTTTTCAGGCATTTCGCGTGCAGCCATTACGCGTGTTGAAATAATCGAGAATCCCGAAACCTATTTCTTCTTGGTTGATCCAAGATATGTGATTTTCATAGCGAGAACATTTTTACGCAAATGAGGTTTCGGGATTATATATATAATGTAAAAAATACTGCTGATTTCAATTCCAAAATAGATATGAAAAATGAAATCTTTACATAAGGTTTCCTCATTAAAAGTCACCGGCAATTTTTTGTGTGTTGATACATTTTTACATCTTCGTTATCTATAACATTGTATCCGTTCATTTAGTGGAACGGAAAAATGTTTGAATACAAGGTATTTGTTTGACATAATGTCAGGCAGGTTGATAAATGATGTCAGAATTATGTAATGAGTTTTGTTTATTTTTTCTTCAATTATCGCCAAGCTGAAGACGGATAACCTGGATCTGATTTTTTTCATAATAAAGTTGAAATTAGACTGTGAATAATGAAAATTTTGACAGCAATTTTTTGTGATTTTAAGAATCTCTCAAAAATCTCAAATATTTCTACGTCGCGATCAAAACTACATATACGGTATGAATATCAGTATATGTTGGAAGTATTCTTATAAAAACAATTATGCCATTTCAAATTAGTTATATAACATACATGCATTTGTTAGATAAACTATAAAACCCATAAATTAGATTAAGATATCTTTACAATATTGGGTTCGTTAATTTTTTTAATAGAATTAACATTCCATGATTATTTACATATTTTTGTTTAAATAAAAGTAACACAAAAATAATGATGGTAATTTTCATATATTTGTTTAAATATTCGAGACGTACAATTTCATTAATTTAAGCTTTGATTTGCGAAAATGTTAAGAATAATCTTTTTACACTTTTGATCAGATGATACAATCAATGCTGCACTTCATAAGCCAGCTGAGCTATCTTCTGTCTATGGAGATTTTGGACCTCATCTTGCTGTGGATGGTATTCGCACCAAAAGTTCTTATTTTGCTACAGAAAAAGAATTGAATCCTTGGTGGCGTGTTGACCTTTCTGGCATTTATGTGGTTTTCCTGATTAGACTATTCAATCGCCTAGACTGTTGCAGTAAGTATTATATATATAATTCAATCTTTCATTCTGACAGCTTGTTTGATTATACTACAAAAAAAGACTTTTAATGACCTGATGCAATGTTATGAGGCATTATAATTTATTCTATGTATCAGTTTTATATCAATGACATTGTTAGCATTACCCTTTCTTTCTGTAAGCTGTGCTATACATACTACTTTAACATGATACATATTAAAAAGGGGAAATACACGTTATTTTCAGCTGCAGTAGCGGTTTTGTTTCATAAATAGTAGAAACAAACATGCAAAGTAAACATCAAACTTAAAAGGGTATCATTCCCTTTTAAATATCATAAATTCAAAATCAGTGAAAAGATACTATTACACATTTGATAAAATGGAAATATTACCTTTCAAATAGCAGTTTCAATGTTTTTGGTTTTTGCTGAACCATTTGTTTTAAAATTAACCCAATCTTAAAAGTAAAGATTTCCATTCCCTCTGATATCACAAAATAATAAATAAATAAATTTTAAAACTTAACATAACAATTTTCAAATAGGGGACCACCCCTCACAAAGCAGATCAAAGGTAGAAATAAATCTGAACCCAACCTCTTTGATATCAAATTCATAAAATCAGTAAAATATATCTTTAACACATTCTCTAAAGTGGAAGTTACTCTTAACAAAACAACACTTATTGATATTAAAATGCAAAACATAAAATTTGTCACAAAGTTATATTATGAAGCAAATGACAAATGATGAACTTAGGTTGTATTATTGGTATATAATAGTCCAATAGTTCATACTCAATTCGCCTGTAATTTTAAAGAAATATCTAAAGTGCTTACTTATAGATCTGTTTAATATCATGCTTTTATGCCTAGGTCACAAATAAAACAGCCGCCGCCCGATTTAACGATTTCACAACATCGCGGCTCTGACTACAAAGTATGATAATATACAAATTTTCATTTGTTAAAATATATCAATAGTTAGACTTGCCAGGAGAGAGGCACTTGGTTTCCGTAAATTGCCTAATTGTGGTGGTCATTTGAGAAGATTCCAGGGGTATATGACCGTTAGAGCGTACAAGGAAAGGAGAATCCTGGTTACAAGTGGATCTTGGATCATGTAACATTATGCGGAAAAATCTCTAAACAAGGCTTTAAAGTTTTATTTTTTTGAAAATGACTTAAAAGAGAATAATTTCCACCACTCTTTTCATTTTTCTTACCGATCACAGGACTGATATATACATATTTTAAAAGTAGATATCCAAGATAAGTAATCTAAGTGACTTATGAACCACTGCGTTATCTAAGGAAAACAATGTAGTGTAAGTGTATATACTCTTTTATCCAATCACCAGCTGTCCTAATAAAGGTTACAATTTTCAGAGTAACACTGGCAATGCTACAATACAAGTTCGCTTCTTTAAAAAGAAGCATGCGAGAGGTCTTTTCACAGCTGTTGAAGATTTATTTAATTGTTCAAATGACAGGAAAGTAAGAACTTCTAATTAGTCGAATGGCATCTGCGAACAAAAGCAACATATATCGGCTATTTCCGTCAGTCTCTCAGAATAGGAATATACGGCGAGGTGTTCCGAAGTTAAAGAAGCAGCAAAATTTCCATACACGGTTCATTAGGTGGCCACAAAATAGTGCTTGGTGATAGCATACCATTTGTTCAACATCAACACAAACATGTGTTGTTGAAAAATGATTGGGTCCGAAGCTTATATATTTATAAATGCTTTGTTTTTCAGTATTCTAGCTCCACTTAAAAAACCCAATCAACGATGAACTTGTTTTTGATTCAAAATTGAAATCTGACCTTTTACATTTTTTGATTTAAAGAAGTCATCTTAATTTTGCATAAAAACAGTGCAACTTAGTGCAGCATAAACGTGCAAAAAGTAAATATATTTGTACTTTTTATGGTTTACAAGATTGATACACTTTTGATTAACTATTCTTTGTCAACAGCAGAAAATAAACTGAGAAAATCCCTTTTATATAGCTCAACATTTCAACCAAGTACAAAGCAGTAAGGAATTTCATTCATAAAATCTTATATTTTTTCTTAAAATAGTACTTTAAGTTTGCGACCTTTTGTTGCGCAATTTTGCCATAATTAGAAATGAGTAAAAAATGTTGGCCAGATATACTATCCTAAAAACAATACTTCTTTTCAAATTTCACAGAATTGTAGCTATTAGAAATGTTTACTGTCACTTATTTTTCGAATTCGATGTTCACAAAACAATTACCAATTACTACAGTTTAATGAATTTCGGCTGAAATTGAGATTCATTAAACTCAATTAGATACGCAAAAATGGATGCCGCCAGCAATCAAGCTCAACACTGTGGAGAGGTCTGATGACCTCTGCAATAATCTGACCAATAGCCATTACATAGCACACGTTCATAAAACGCTAAGTGACGTCATCAATAAGTCTTACATCAATTGTTATTTCGTACAGGCTCACATTGAAGTTGTTTCCCCAAAAAGGTTATAAAGTTTGCGACATGATCGGTTTATAATGCTTTCCTGAACTCATTGTAACGCTTAACCTTCTGGTGGCAACTGATGTAAACCATGCCAGCAGTGCAGATGATGTCAACCGGCACATCCAAATGTTCTGATTTCGCTAGTCAGACAGTACTTTATTTGAACTATTCCCTGACAGTGATGAACCATATTGACCATATTGAAAGATAAACAAGTTCATGTTAAATATCTATCGTTCTATGCTTAAATTAAATTTAGGTCTATAAATCTAAAACAACTGTGAAATCTTACTTCAGCCTACGTACAACGTTAAATTTTTTAATCAATCTGATTCGTATGTGAATGTGAAGGTACACTTTTTTTAATAATATGGAAAAAAAGATTATTTACGTAATATAAAACAATAATTTTATGCAAATTGATTGGACATATTTTTGTAATTTTGCTTTTAAGTAAGAATTGCGTATGTGTTTTGTGTGTATGTGTGCGTGTGTGCGTGTGTGTTTTTCTTTTGATCATCTTTTATTATTTATTACATTAATACAGAAATGTTTATAAAATATTTATTGGATTCGTTTAGAGCAATAAGCTGTTAGTGTGATAGAGATGTATGTAACAGTTAATATAAGAATGTTTTAAAAAAGATAAGATTTTACCTTATTTAATTACGTATGTTTTTATTCTTTTTAACAGGGACAAAACCGGACAGTACCATTCTCCAGATGATGATACTGTTTGCAGTAGGAATTTATTCTTGCCTGGAATAACAATCTATTTGAAATATCTACACATTGATTATGAAATATGGCGGATAACTTTAAAACATAACATTTTGTTTATAAATGTTAAGCCATTATTTCAATAATGTTTTACGTGTGTTGGATATAAAATACTTCATTTGATAACTACAAACATTTCTCTCTAACATATAACATATGCCTTTCCGCACCAGTATCATAAGACAGATAAAATATGAATAGATTGTTAGATATACGTTTAAGTCACTTTCAACATACCAAAATTCTAATACGTTGTAAGGAAAATGAGGTGAAGTGTTATTTGAACGCAATTTGCTTCATACAAAGAACACGGCATTGTAATATTGAAAAATAACACTTTTCAGCCGCGTTTTATATATCAAATGTCCCAAACAAAAACACAAGCGCATTTGGAAATGCCATTTTAATATGCCCATCAATTAAGCCAGACAAGGAAAGTACACTTTACCAGAAAACAGCAGGGATATGCTATTATATCAGGTTGTTTTAAAATTGCATTAAGATGCACCTCACAAAACTTATATTTTCCTCTATGTTTCCAGATACAAATATTTTTATTTTATCATATTTCTAACTTGATTAATCCAGTAGTATATTACAATGTTAAAAACATTCCTACAAAAAACGTATGCTGAAAAGCCATGTTCATATTTATTGCACACAATTCTAAAACAAATTGCGAATTTTCTTCCTAATATTATTACTTATCACAAATGTTTTCTTGGAAATAGGATACTCTTTCATGATTCAGCTGAAAAAAATATTGATTTTTAGTTCTCTTTTTTGCACATGCAGTATCGATCTCCAAGTCATCACAATGTTTAATCGGTTGTTAAAACTGCACGTTTGTAACGTCGCTTTTCATTGGATAATCGTAACGTTAATTAAAATAGTTTTACATACAGGGCTTCTGTTAATTTATGACGAAATTTCATTTTTGCTTTTAAAAAGAAAGTTTGCTGTATAATAAATTCGATATCAAGATTGTTTACAGGTTACATGACCGTATATAAAGGTTTATTTGAAATATACCCCGGTTTAAATGTTCAAACAACCGTTGTTTTGCTACCTTAGAGGCCAGCCCCTTCACATAGAGAACAAATGTTTTACTTGCAAACTTTGTCAGACTTCAATGCTATTTCTCCATGTAATTTCCCAAAACTCCGCTTTAACTGTCCGATTTAATATTAGATATAGTTGCCCTTATAATTCAATGACGTCTGTTTGGTAATAAATAACATAAAATCTTAAAATTTCTAAAACTTTATTGGCAATGTAGTTAGACTGCTAGTATTTGAACATAAATGCTGAATATATTATTAACACCATTGAACAACAATAATAATAATTATTATTATTTGCGGCAGAGAACGTGTACATTCTCTTACTATTTGTATACGAAAAATCAACTAGTTTCGAATAGCACCCCTACTGGAGACAAAGATCTTAATTTGCTTAATCTTAAGAAAGATAATATATATTGTTAAGTCTTGGAAGAATTGTTTCTGTTGGTAACAAAAATGTGCCGTCATGTTTTATAGATCTAGTTCTCCATATTTTTTAAAATGCCAACTCCATATAAACGCTTTCAAAATCGATCAATTTACTTTATTGTTTTAAGGGCGATATCATATTTCTTGTGATTTTAAGATTTTGATGTTATCCACTGTCAGAGGATAGGTTACGCTTCAAATATGAATTATTCATTTCACTTATTGATTTTTCCATATTATAAACAAAGAAAATTAATTCCTTCTTTTACAAAACGTCACTATATTGACTCACACTTAAAGGAATGAAAAATGAATTGATATAGACAAACAAACGACTGAATAAAAGCGCTGAAACTGAAGAAATACAATATTGTGAGATGAGACAAGGATGGAAAAAATATTTATTATCCCAAAGTGACTATGCCTGTGTGTTTAAATACGAAACTTTTCGTAATAACATCTTCTGTTTCGCTTAGAATAGGATGACTTAACAAATTAGTCTAGAATGCAACTAATATGCAAGTTTCGGGAAATCTTAAGGTTTGAAGGCTTTCAAATTTGGTAAAAAAATCCAACACGTTACGCGAAATCCCCCCCCCAAAAAAAACAACAACAACAAAAAACAACAACACTATACTATCATGAACTAATAAGAATTTGCGTTAGTTTTGCATAAAATCTTGGAAAAAAATAACAATCAACTTTATCAATTTTAACAAAATAATCGGAAAAAAATATAAGTCAAGCATATTCTTAACATCAGTCACTCAATTATTGCAACCTTTATGACAATCGTATAAACTGTGTTCATAAACTTTCTCCAAGATAATATTATCTGTAATTACCAATCTAAGCGACAATTTTATAATTTTAACATATCTATTGATAAAAGAGGATATCTACCGAAATCTTCATATACGCTTGCGTTACATGAATCTTGTCTAACATTTAAAATTCTTTTACAAAATTGCATGTGTATACGTTCTATGTCTATGACTTATTACAGCCTCAAACCTCTGATGAGTATGGTAAAATTGATCCAACAAATGCATCAAAAGCTGACACAATAATAATTTCGGTTCAAGATCAAAATTGTTACAATTATACAATAACATATTTAAGCTCTTGAAGATTTACGAATTAAATGATTCCCTGTCTAATGAAAAAATTACCAGTGTAACTAAATACTGTGCCAAGATGATTAAAATAGTCTACAATTGCTATCTCTTGCCCGTTATAAACATTTTTCATTGTTTAAAGATAGTTCCCCTTTGTCTAATTAATACTGTTTTGGTATTTTCAATATAACTTTTAATCCTCATTCTATACAATAAGTACATGTTTACAATAAATCAAGGCTATTTTGTTAATCATCCGGTCTTTTCCTTATAATAGCTATATCATCGGCAAATAGAAACAAAATCAAAATTACATTGTTAAATAACAAACCAGACCTTAGGTTGTTTTGTACATGTAACACTAAGTCCCTTACAAAAAAGGGAGAAAAGTATTGGCGAAATTACCTCCCTTGTCGTAAGCCCACAGCATACTTCAAGAAGATATCTCTAATGATTCGCAATATTTTACCTCACAGTTCATCCAAATATTGAAAGTGATCCTAAAATTGACCCTTTTTAAACCGAATATTATTTTTCTTGTCCATTTTATCCCAATAATAGGATTGTTTCGATGTAAATCAGGATATGTTTAATTTTAATATAAAACAATCAATTTGAGTTTTACAAAATTATTAAAACATAATCAAGATCATTTGAGTCGCGTCACGACAAAACCAACATAGTGCGTTTGCGACCAGCATGGATCCAGACCTGCCTGCGCATCCGTGCAGTCTAAACAGATCCTTGCTGTTCGCTTACAAACCATATAACAAGTAGAGAAATCGATAGCAAACAGCATGGTTCCTGAACAGACTGCGAGAATGCGCAGGCTGGTCTGGATCCATGCTGGTCGCAAACGCACTATGTTGGTTTTGTCGTGACGCGGCTCATTTGATCCTGATCCAGACATTTTATCTGGCGTCCAATATGTTCGATATTAACATGCAAACCAGACAATTTCATATCTCCTTTATATAGAAATTTCATTTAGTAATATAAATATAACATCCCTGTGATTGTGATAGTACATAATGTTGATCGTTGAAAAATAGTTTAAAAATTGTGTTTCTCGAGTTAACATTTTGTATTACAGAGGTCAAAGGGATGTAATATATATGTATATATGTGTTCCTTAAAAAAAGAAGAAAAAAAGCTAAATCACTGTTTACAGCGAAATTTACTGAGAACATCGCTAAACATTACATGGTTTGGCTGAGTAGTTCCAATGGCAGTCAAAGGGGCACAAAACAACGGTTGGAATGGTTTGATGTAGAACTTATGTTCATAAAATATCTCACATGAATTCATATTTGCTAGAACCGTTGTATAACAAAAGATCAATACTATTTTGCTTAAAAACATATTACTTATTACGCTAATTAATTAACTATATAATATTAGTTAAGTCCATTGTAAATTTGCTGAAATGTAGTGTGAATCTAAATCGTTCCGCTATTCATACGTATGTGATTCGCCGTAAAAAGTATACAGGTTGGTGGATAAAATCTCGTTTTGAAATGGTTACGGATTTAAAACGTTCGCCGGTTTTGAATTGTTCAGTGGATTTAATCTTGAACAAATTTGGGAATATTGAAACATTTGAAGAAAATAAATTAAAAAAAGCAAAAAACAACAAAAACAAAAAAACACGTTGTGCTTGTTTTACATTGAAAATGAGGAAAGGCATGTGCATAAAATGCTTTGCTTTAAAAGGACCTATCATAGTTTAGCATTGTTCATTTGTGAAAAATATTGTTGTCTGTTTGAATGCAGACTCTCTGAAGAACGTTGCTCGTAACAAAGAAACTTTTCAGTCATCAACTCTTACCACACACAGTTGTAGCATAATAGTTGACGGAGATAGAGATCAGAATCTAGAAAATGGTTCCTGTATCAACATTGAAAAGAAAGGAGAATCCAGGTGGATCTTAGAGATATGTACACTATCTTTAACATCAGAGTATTTCTTGCTGACCAAATTATTGTGAGACAATCAAAATTAAATCTTGTTATTCTCTCTACTTTATTTTTACGACTGTAATGAAAATTTACATGTTGAATGAAATACTTCATCAATGTCGTTCGTATAAAAGTAAATTCACATGTATACAGTAAAAAGTAACATTTATGATAAAAGTAATCTGTGTCAGTATTTTGAAATATAAATACATGTACATTATTTCCAAAAAAAAACAACAACAACAAAACATGCCAGAAAATTGCAACTGAATAATCAGATTTAAAGAAAAACATAACGGAGAAAAACAAATACACATGATAAATTAATCCATGTCTATTAAAAACCTTTGCCATACTAAAAAAGGGCGGGGATCATCCTTCTTATTTAAACATTGGCCACCCCCTGGCAATAGTATGACATGGAAGGACATTTTCTCCATAAACTAAATCTTTTGTAACACACATATACCCAATAACCATCACACTTTTCAATAAGCTCTTTGGTCCTCTATCAAATCACAATGAAACTCCAAAACCACATATACTTAAATGACCTACTAAAATTTTATTCGTGCGAAAATAAACTGTTTGTTAAAAAATCAATAATCTTTCCAACGGTATATTACAAATGTATTATACATGTACCTTCACATGTAAATCACGATTGAATTGAATTGTTGCCACTAATTGATATATGCCTCTCGTATAATCTGGAAACATAATTTGAGAATCATTTTTTAGTTTACTTATATAGGTGAGAAATTTGAAACGAACAACCATGGACATATCGTGGCAATGCAAACACAACAAAAGCGGATTGCCCAGTCAACTGATTCTATCCATGCGAACAGTACATACCCAGATAAGCCAGGTGTGGGTTCATGGCATGCACTGTTCGTTTTTAGTCAGTACTAAGTCTTCCAGGCGCATAACGATCCTTAGATTTCTAGTCTGAAGCGTTAACAACTCGTCTTTGCCGCAGAGACATATTGGTTTTGTCAATTAAGAAAGATGAACATAATTCATAATATTTTGCGTAGAACAGATAAATAAATATAAAAAACAAGTTCATGTGCAATACTCATTGTAAGATCTTACAGTTTTGATATTTTGTATTATCTATATGTGATGCTTTGATCCGCTTTTCATTATAATATGAAATTAGTAGGACACAGCTAGAAAATAGTTGAATCATGCAATGGGCCACGGAATTTCTGTTTTAAAATTGTTTGAACAATATTTGCATTCGTTTGTTTAAATTTGGGATTTCTTTCAGTCGCGCATTTTATTGTAGTTAAATAATTTATTTGTTCCCTGGTTGCTCTTCTGATGAGTTTCACATAATATTCATTACCTCTGAGATGGCATTTTTCACCCTTATGTATGCATTAGTTGAAGAAAATATCCCAAATTTCTAATGTTTAGTTAGTTATACGATTTTGATGCAGCAGGATAGAAATTCACATTAAATTAATTTATTTTTATATTTATTATTTCATCTTAACCCTTTCGCTGCCAGAGGGTTATTGTTTTATTGATCACCTATTTGCCAGAGGGTTTTCTAAGAAATTACTATATTATTAATTAATATAATTATTATTATTTGTTATTAGTATTATAATAATTATATATGTTTCCAAATCTGTGAGTATAACAATAATTATTGTCAATGGTATAATTTTCTTTATATTTATTATTATTTTTATTATTAATATTATTAATTTATTATTATTACTATTATTATTATAGAAACGGCTAAAGCCGTCCATATGGCAAATACGCCGAAAATAACAGGGCCCTATGGCAGTGAAAGGGTTAAGATTATTTTCATACCAATGTTATTGTATTATAAGATGTATTTAATCTGATAATACGAGATGACCACGTGACTGCTTTCAATTCTCATTCGCATGATTATGTACTGTCGATTCTAACGTCATATCATGCATGAATTTAACATTATCGAACCTAGTCTTCGATTCTTAATATTTGTTTATATTCTATCTCAGAATAAATATTACATAAAACAAAAAAGAAAACGTCATATTTTTCAATGCAAAGTACAATTTTATTGACATTTACAACACAATGCAATCTAAACATGAATGTAAAATGTTCGTAAGAATATGGTATTTTAAATATTATAAACTCTCTCTCTCTCTCTCTCTCTCTCTCTCTCTCTCTCTCTCTCTCTCTCTCTCTCTCTCTCTCTCTCTCGGACTACATAAACTGTCATACGTACAATAACTTACTTATAAATAAACTGTATATCAAACAAAGCATTCAAACGCATAAATATACGTAACAAAATCATTAACAGAAACAATATTTGATATCTCAGCTGCAATAGAAATTTCATACTCGTGTTTCAAATGCTGGTTGTAGTCTACAAGAAACATTTTAGCAAAGTAACACTTTACGACATAAGTAAAAAACACTATCCCATTACTGCACATAAAAAGCGGACTTATGTCTCAACCAGTCACTAATAGGTTTTTCTCAATCTGTTCATACCTGAAATAAGATAGATATATTTGCTTAGTGAAAATAATAGTAATTTAGGCATATTGATCTACATAACAACTGAACATTAAACTTATACCAAATTCATGTTAAGCATACCAACATGCACGAAAAAATATACACATGTGTTGAACTAATAATTCTATAGAGAAATATTTTGATATACCTAAACTTCCAGCACCTCCCATTGAACTTTTACCGAATCCGACCCCAAGACCACCAAAGCCTCCATTGATTATACCCATACCACCACTCATACCGCCAAGTCCACCCATACCGCCAAGTCCGCCAAGTGCACCATTACCTCCTCCAAGTCCACTATTAACATCAAGTCCATTATTACCACCAATTCCACCATTACCACCAAGTCCACCATTACCACCATTACCGCCAAGTCCACCTTTGCCGCCAAGTCCACCATTACCGCCAGGTCCACCATTACCACCAATACCACCATTACTGCCAAATCCACCTTTGCCGCCAAGTCCACCATTACCACCAATTCCACCATTACCGCCAAGTCCATCATTACCACCAATACCACCATTACCGCCAAGTCCTCTATCCCCGCTAAGTCCATTCATACCATCTAGTCTAACATTACCACCAAGTCCAGCGTTACCCCAAAGTCCACCCATGCCACTAAGCCCACTTTTACCTCCAAGTCCGCCATTACTACCAAAGCTGCCATTTACACCAAGTCCACCATTACCTCCAAGTCCACCATTACCTCCAAGTCCGCCATTACCTCCGATTGCTCCATTTCCACCACCAACACCGTTGTCTAAACACAAACTTATAAAGATTAGAAATTGGCAAATCAGATGTCAAATAAGAGAAGTGACTGCGTACATCTACATATACTACGATTTAATTGAGGTAAAATAGTGAACACGAGACTTAAAATTTATATAAACTTACAAAATTTCTTAGTCATATGAAAATCAAGAATGTGAGTGTTAATGATATTGGATAAACATTTCATCAGAATACTGCTATTAATTAATTGACATACTTCCATTCAATCCAGCATTATTTTTTAAAATTCCACCCCAAATCCTCTAAGGGCTTCCCTTTTTCCCCAATTTTAACCAACCCCTTTTAAATTTCTGCCCCCAATTTGGAAACCACCAACCAAAACCTACATTTCCATTCAATAAAACCCCGCCCAAAAATTTTACATTTCCATTCAATGATCTAATTCCACCAAATTCCACTATTTTTTTTTCCGGGGCCAACCGTTCCCCCTCCAAATTTTTTGAAATGCCCCCTACCATTCCTTTCCCAACCCCCGCCCCTAAAGCCCTAACCCTTTCAAATTGGGGAATTTTTTTCCCTTTAATTTTATTTAAAATTTATTATGTGGGAATTAAGTTGGGACCAACGATTTTATTTTATAACTTAAATTAATTTAAATTTTCAAATGGTGCCAATGCCAAAAGTTTTTATTTTTTTAATTAATTGAATTTTATGTAAATTTCTTCTAAAACATTTCCCCCATCACTAGGGGGCCTTTTCCCACCCCAATTGAATTTTTCCGCTTCCCCGTTAGCCCGGCCCCCTTACTAAGCCAACCCCTTTTAGTCGTACCCCCCTCCATTTTTCAAACTCTTCCCCCCCAACCCTAAAAAGCACTATTTAAAATACCTCCCCCAATTTGTCCTCCTCCTAAAAATTTTCCACCACTTTTTTTCCAAACCCACCCCCCATAAATGTTACCCCCCCAAGGGAAAATGCTTTGGGTTTCGAAAAATTTAATTTCCCCATTTCTGCAGGGCCCAAATAAACCCCCCTGAAAATAAAAATGTTTCTTTGACATTAAATAAAAGATTTTAGCTTCCCTTTTTAAATTAAGGGTTTGATGTGGAAATTAAAATTTTTTGTTTTCGTTACCTTTTTCCACAGAGAGGTTAACTAGATTTTGCATTAATATCAATTATCATTAACGTATTCAAGATGATATTAATATTAATGGGATTCAGATATAATGTCCATATTCAAACATTTATACATTAAAAGTTCGTGATAAATTTTTATGCCCTGCGTCATTTTTTACTTTATGACTTACCAGTGAACCTACTACTCCAACCACCGGTGTTACCTCCTCCTGAATTAGATAGGCAAGTTATAGCATTAGTTTATTTGTTAAATATGTTAGTAACCAATCCTTAAAAGTTTGTTTCATATAAATTGATAAGGTAAAACTATTTATTCTATTCTTAAGCCTCCTCTCTTCCTCTGCCCTTCGAGACCTTCCAGTTGCCTTTTTTGTTTCTTTTTTTTCTAGTTTTTTTTTCTACTTTTTGTTCGGTGCTCTACTGGATGCCTCTCTGTATAACTGGATGTTGTCGGTATCTGCCTTCCATGAACATCGCCATCCCTGGTTGATCTTTGTATTCATATTTAAACCGTCATATTTGGATGCATCAGACAAATGTTCTACTTTAAATTGAAACAATTTGAAATTACTATTCACCATACAGTTGTCCTATTTCCTTTCTTTTAAATTGCTATTACTTATGTGTGTACTGTACCGATAAATATTATATTTGAAAATATTTAGATTAGATAAAACATGAACAAAGATTATAGATTTTTTATTTATAAATTTGAGACTAACCATAGCTATTTGTGCCAGCGCCTAAGACATCAGATACCACGAGCAGTGTGCACATGGAGGCTAATGTGAATGTCATGCTGCAGTTAGTAGACAAGACACGTTTGAAAAAAAAACACATATGATAAATCGATTTTGGCAAACCATAACAAAATGAATATACCGTGATTTCATTTTACAAAAATTGCAAGTGAGTATATTTTATATCTTTGTGCTGCATATTCAGGTAATGAAATGTAATTAAAAAAATGTAATGTAATCGAAAAGTGTAGTGTATACCCGAGACAAGTAGGATTTTAATATAACTCTTAACTTGTTCTGACGTTCGTTTGAGTGCTTTATGGTACGCGCAAAAATACGTATGATAAAAATGCAGTAAGCCTTGATGATTCATTTTCAAACAACTGAGCTTATACGAGGGATGATCAAAAATTAACCGGACTTTGTAGATGATTCCTTACCTGTTGAACGCATTTACATAAAAGTACACGGAACATAAATCGGAATCTATCCTCTAAATAATACAAAAAATACCAAAAAGAAATATTGACAATTTAAAAAGTTATGCTGTTATTTGCATGTACATGTAAAGCAATACGACGCGTATTGTCTTAAAGGGAGCAGCGTTTTACTCATTCTCGAGAAGGCCAATACGTGTTCCATATGTTGTTGATGGCGGCGGATCCACCGCCTTTATATATCTCTTTACAAGTCGGTATCATATTGTATTGTAATAGAATGAATGATGATAAAGAGCTCCTGTAATGATGCAAACTTCCGTTCTTTCCTTCTGTAACTTAATTGGTGGACAATTTGCACATGCAATGAACTTTATTATATTTTGCATTAATATTATGTTGCTGAATGATAATGTATCTGCCATACGAGAACTTTAAAGTATAATACAACTAAGAAAAAAGTGTCATATTTAAAATAAACAAAACGCATAGCCGATTTTGAACCGTGACTGTTAAACTTTAAACAGAAAGAATTTCTCCATAGGAAAAATCTCTACTACGAAAAATAATAAAATAATTAAAAAAAAACAAATGTAAACTAAGAATGTAATATATGTAATTAATGCATTAACAATTAGAGATCCTTAGTTATAGTTGACTGAACCTGAACCGCCCCGTACCTACTGCCAAACATCGTGTCAATTGACAGTCATTTTTCAACGTCTCGGCGATTGACGTCACCAACGTCGTTGAAAATTTCTTCTTTCTGACGCCCCTTTACTTGTTTTCCATTTCTCTATTACCCTTTTTTAATCATTTATGCTAATCAAAAACTATGCTGTGGCTTCCTGGAACTTTTTCCTTGTTAGCCATAATCATTTTTTTACGTTCTAAACAGTTTGTCGCCTTATTTTTGACAAACTATTCTTATTGACCGATTTTCGAGACATTCTGACGACAAAGTTTTAACGCAAATATTTCTTTAACATGTGACGTTTGAATTGTGATTGCAAATATAAATATAGTTTGAATGAAGTCATATTTTCTGACAACGTCAAGGATATAGCTCATGACTTTTTGGGGTATTTTAAAATCTAAATGTGCCATATTGTAAAATATAGGCATCATGTCAGCGTAAATTTACGCACTGCGTCGGGTTTGCGTTACCATGGTTTTTAAATTCGCTGTTACGGACAAGCTGTTTGAGTTATCATATTAGATATCACATCAATTTACAGGTATTGTTTTCCGATTAAGTGTGATAAATAACAATAAGTGATAGATTGAATATTCTCGAATTGACAGTCACATGATTATCCCTCGTAGTGCAAGCTAAATCAATATCTAGGTCCTATATTAACTTATAATGTTTTATACATTTTTGGACGTTTCCTTCAGTAGAGCAAAAGGAAAATTTAAACGATTGCGGATAATTTTCTTTAACTTTGATGAAAGAGAAAAAAGAGATATTTTCCTTTTAAAAATGATCTGAAAGGGAAAAATAATTTCTAGGGGCGGCTCAATTATCGTGTTTTGTCTGTGTAAAAATGGCGTAACTTTAGAAAATATATTTAAGTAATATCGAATCTTTATTCGTCTATCCTTTTAGATCACATTTTCGTATTTTCATCCAATACTTTAGAATAGTTTCTTTTATAACAATATCACTAGAATATTAGTTTGCATATTCATTCATTTATACAGTATGAATAAAACTGCTGAACACTCATCAATATGTTTCTGTTGAATACAATGAAATCATATTCAAACTTATAATGTAAATACACTTTATTTCGATTTTACACCTATAACATATATAAAAAGTTGTAACAGTGGTTTTTATTTTGAATCTAAAGGGACATGGACTCCTTTAGCGAGCGTTTTAAGTTTCATTATTATAAAAATTTTGATTATTATAATACTAATAAAATATGAAATACTGTCAAATAACTTAAACTCCGAATAATTTTGTAAACTTATCTGTTTGTATGCGTAAACATCTTTCCATTAAACCTGAAAATAGAAATGAAGAAAACAAACCCCAAAACAACATAATATACAAATTTCAACTTACCTTATTTCTCACAGTTAAGTTAAACTATGGTCACAATTTTCACAATGGTGTCCTTTTTGAACAAATGCTTCGTATTTATACTCGAATGCAACGTATTTAATACCATATGTTTCAGTAAAAACTGCTACTTCATCAAATTGAGGATTTACAAATCTCTGTCCATTGACATATTTATTACCTCAATACAAAGTAGTATTACATTAGTATTACATTAGACAACTTTCTTTAAAAGGAAACAAAATGCATCGCATGATTATTTCGACAATAAACAATCAATGTTTCTAATCAATATTGTTGTTTACACGTTTGTCAAACATGGTGTTAATACTTGCACGTTCACAGCTGACCACACTCAATCAAATGTGGTATTTGACATTTCCGCAGTGATCTTGCATTCCCTTTTGAACACGCAGGAACCGCACATAGCTTATATTTTTATCTATTTGTTATAAAAATGATATATTATAATTTTTGTCGTAACAATTCTACTTGATTTGATAATAGATTGATGACCTATGATTAAGCCTTTTACTAGTGTAATTTTCCAATTAGAATGAGCTCAATGTTGTCTTCTGTAATTCATTTTATTGTGTTGTTGTTCTTACATGTACGATAGTAAAGGAAACATGTTTTAGTTTAATTTTAGTTCGTTTGTGAAGGATACTTTGACCTTATAAACAGCCTTGAAGCCGCTCCTACAAAGCGATGAGTGCATAGTTTCTTGCTCTAGGAAATAAAGGTTTGACAGTGACGGGTTTGAATTCAAACAGCTAGCGATTCTTAGATTACTATTTCGACGCGCTAACCTCTCAGTCATGCCGACACCCCTGGATGAGATTTTAATATAGTAACTGTATTCTATTAATAAAATTTAAAACTTTTGATATTGTCATGAATTTGAGAAGAAGAAACAAAACTTAAACAGAGTATGGATGCAGTATTAAGTCTATAAAGAAATTAAAACAATGAGAATTCACCCGAATATTTTATTAAACATGTGTTAATATACGGCACAAAATGTTATTATTGAAAATTATTAACCGTAACTATTGTTAAGAAAGAAACAGAAAATGTAAATGTGCTAAAAACCACCAGGTGTTCATATAGATGATACATTGTCCTGGAATTACAAAATTCAAGAGTTTGTTCCAAACAACCATACATGTCTTCTGATTTTTACAAATTGAATGTTAATATTCGAGTAACAACGTAAATTCGTATTCCAATTAGTAATGTTGAAATTTGAGAACTGTTGTACTGTTTGGAGTAAAGGAAATGTTAGTTCCAGTTCATGAGGCAAAATCTCGGTCTTTGACTTGATAGGTTAACGTTTTGTCCATAGATCTGGAACATTGACGGAAAAGTCTTAAAATCCAAAAGTTATCTGTAAAGAGCTCTATAAAAACACGTTTGTTGAAATTGGCATAACATCTATAAAATGGTAAGATTAATTAATTAATAATAATCGAGGAAACACTCAAAAAATATATATGTGTGTTACTAAATGAAACTGTAGTGTTTGTTTAGTGTTCTATTTCTAACACTGAAGACTACATTCTGATTATTTTTTCCATTCGCAAGACCCCAGGCGCTTGCATGTCGTAATAGTAATGTATTGAGTTTTATCTTTTAATTATGACGGTTCCACGGTTACTACTTTGTCAATCATTGTGTATGTTTAGTTTTAGCTTTATCGCTAGAAGTATAGTTCAATGTTAATTCTAATAACAGAGCAAGACTCAATATTTTTTTTTAATATCGTCCATCAAACTTTGTCCGAAGTAGAAATTAACACAAACAACAGGTTAACCTTACAGACTTAACAAGATTATTATTGTTGTAAGACACCACACATCGGTCGAGCTCTTAATCAGATTTGAGAACAATTTGTCAGTGCACGAACGTAATCGAGAAATACTTTTAAGCTATGAACACTAAGATATAATTTGAATAATAAAATAAAGATTGTGATGCAAAACAGCCTTAATCAGTTGCTGTTATAAAACTTGATATTTGTTTTGCGTAAATTGGATTTCGTCATATCATCGAGTGAGCTTCAAAAAAACATAATATTTTTTTGAAAGTCGTGATATGAATTAAAATCACACACACACACACACACGCACACACGCACACGCGCACACACAACACAAACCTTTATTTTTATGCTTAGTTACGAGTTTAAATCACATTGCATCAATACGTTTAGTTTATTAATCAATTTCACCTTGTTTTGTTTGTTTGTTTTGCTACAAAAATAGTTTATAAAGTATAGATTATTTGTAAGCAGAAACAGATGTGAGGTACCATATAGGAAACATATAAATGTTTATCCCTTCATTAGATGTAAACTTATATTTTTGATAATTCTCACTGTGAAATTATCAACTAAACTTGTTGATTTATAAATCAGAAATCCACTAAAAGCTTAAATATAACTTACGAAATAAGTATTGTTTCAATGTGGAAATGCTTTGAGACTACAAAAAATCATGAAAAGAAAAAGGCCCCGAGATCAGTTTGGTGCGATGGCGGCAGTGTTTTTCA